GACGGGTAGGTGCCACCACCATCCCATCTTAGCGAAGAGTTGGAAACACTCGCCTTCTGTGGAAGCGTTGCATGGTCACCACAGCGTGATAAGTGCTACGGTTCTGAAACTTACCTATGTATGCCTTTTCTAGTAAAAGACGCACATGCAGAATATGTACGTGTTGTTATGGTGCCCAGACATGCGCGAAAATTGCTTCTTAATTGACAAGTTCACAAGCAAGAACGCTCAACCTTGAGCCACCTTGGTGGGCGCTGCGGATGCGATCAGCCGTTTCAAATACCCGATGCCGTTAAGAGTAGACGAACAGACAGACAGACAGACAGACAGACAGACAGACAGACAGACAGACAGACAGACAGACAGAGAGACAGACAGACAGAGAAACAGACAGACAGATAGACAGGCAAGCAACAGACAGACCAATATTTTTGCTTCGAATGTCCCCAAGAAAGCCTTTCTTCTTTAATATTGATTGTGCTTCACGCGCCACAGTATTGACTACTTTAAGTGTTATTAACATCGCAGTGACGAAAGTAACTAGTGCGGTATGCACCAGAAATCAAGATCGTAGCATGCGCTGCTCTTTCGAACGAATATTCACTTCTAGAATACTGTACGTCTATCATAAGCGCGCGCAGGGTACTCCTTAAGGGAGGAGGCAAAGGTTTTTCGCAGTGCTCCTCCTCCCTATTATGTCAATTTAGGGGCTCCCTTGGCGCCCCCCTCTCCAATAATATAGTCTCTAAAGTTGATATTGCGCCCCCTCCTGAAAATCAGTGACTAAGTGGGCGGCCACCTTCTAGTCAGGTTTTAAATCACCAAGTTTTATTATAAAATTATCATTTCATATACCTGCCTTACCAGATTCATTATTATTATCGTAAATAGGCTGGTATATTCGGTACACTACACTTCATATCTTACAGCACATACTATTTAACAATCATGCCTGAAACTTTATGATGGGGACAGATTTATGTCATAAGACTACAATTGAGCCCTGTGTAGAAAGCTTTTGGTTGATGTCTGCGGTAGAAATATCCTCTAGTGCAACAAACTACACCTGGTTCTCGATGATGCAACAGATATTGGTCATAAGATAGGACCCAAGCACTGCGTAGAATACTTTTGGGCATTTTCTGTAGTGAGAATACGCCCTGACGCAACTAACCATATGCCTCAATCTTCTTTAAGTGAAAGATATTGGTCATAACACTGTAATTTAAGCCCGTATGAAAGACTTCTGGACGCTGCCTGCAGCCAAAAATGCTCTCTAAAGCAACAAACGGCACCCAAATCTTCATAAAATCGCAAATATCAGTCGTAAGATGGTTACTGAACCTTGTATGAAAGCAGTTCAGCGTTAACTAACGCACCAAAGTGAACACGACACTTAATCATGCGGCAGATTACGTTCATAAGGATGCCATTCAGCCCTTTGCAGTAGGCTTTTTGATGATTTGTGTGTTGTAAATATCCTCTAATACAATAAAGTACACCTGCCTCCTAATGATGCAAAATATATTAACATAGAATAAGAAGCAAGCACTGTGTAGAATGCTTTTGGGTATTTTTGTAGTCTAAATACGCTCTGACGCTACAAACTGTGCCTGGCACTTCATGATGTCACACATATATCTCATAGGACTGCAACTAAATACTCCATGAAAGACTTTTTGACGTTGTTGCAATCCAAAATATTCTGTACACTCACAAAGCACACCCAATGCTTCATGAAGTTGCAGATATCAGTCATAACTATAAAATTATACTTGAACTTTGTGTTGTAGGATTTTCATGTGGTCTTCAGCAAAAAATTTTCTCCAATACCACATATCACACACGACACTTCATGATGCAGAAAATATTGCTCATAAGAATGGAACCGAACACAACGGGGAACGCTTTCAGATGTTGCATCTATTTATTTTCAAATGCTTCATTTATTTTTAAACGAGTATCAGAATGTACTAAAAAGAATGTGCGAGTTAGGATGCTGCCCTGACTGTGGCAGAGAAGCAGAATGAAAATCAAGAATTGAAACTTTAGGCAATACGAGGAGCACCTCACCATGCAACTTTCTATTTTGATCACCAAAGCAACGCACGTTCAAGTTACTGTCTTGTACAAGAATGTAAAACAGACCACTGAAAGCAGAATGTGTCAGCGTTGGTGGTGCCCGGGCCGAAATTACATCACACTGCTACCAACCAGCGAACGCTTGTTTATAGCTTGTCAAGACGAGAAAACCATTTCACCGAAGCTCACAAATGTTTCAGCGTCGTACAATCTATATGTTTATGTAAGTACAGACGGTTTCACATCACCTTAGTGTGTCGGTTAGTGCGAAAAGCTTTCAGCGACGAAGAACACCTTTGTTTAAAACTAACACAGTGCGGATAAGAACTGCTTCGTAGGCTCTACGCGATGTTTCGGGCATCGTATATTGTGTCTTCGCTGTAACGGAAACTACAGTCAATTTTTTGGAGCCAATGTTCCGCCCATGGGCTGCTTTGTACGAACTTGACGGTAGAAGCCTACGTTGAATGGAGGCGACATCGCTCCTGATTGAATTTGTGGGAGGCGAGGGCTCACGCTCAAATCTTCGAAACTCCAAAGCCATTTTACACTCGTTTTTAGCACAGAAAATCACAGCTCAAAGCACAGGAACACCGCCATTCTGCAGTAGTCTATACACCCTTTTCATGTTTGTAAACAAATCACGTGCACGTCTTGTTGGTGTTCCCGCGACGCTTCCAGCAAACAACTTCCACGCGTCTGCGGAGCGAAAATTCCGGTGCAAGCACGTGGCGTGCACCACATCGCAGATATTTCTTCGTAGTATGCGCTGTCGTTCGCACCTGAGCACTGCTTCACAAGCATGACAGGTGCATATTGCAAGGGCCTCAACACGACCGCACAGTATCGGTACCGAGACAACTTGTCATTCGATGGTCCACAGCTGCCGGACCCACTAGAAGACGATGTTGTGCAATTCCGTTTTTCGTCAGGCTCAAGGAGCTTTCTTTCTCGCACAGCAGCGGCATTTTTGTGTATTTGGTGGAAGGATCCTGTTTTTACACCAAGAAACCATTCATACGCATAAACTGAGTGATGCTTACAATCCTTTCCTTAGTGGGAAAGTTCAGTGCGTGGTTTCTTTAAAGGCAGGCAAACGCGGAGTTCACGTCGTCTTGATAACTGCATCAGTGGATGCCCACCAGCAGCTCTCGAAAATATACCGGCCCTGGTGCATCGTCAAAAATGACAGTACTGTTGTCGGCGCTTAGTGAACGTGCATGGCTGGGTAAGTACAGTCTGCTGCCTACTCGACAGCGCGATTTACATTACCCATTTTCACGTGCCCATGATTGAGCGCGGAAGCTTAGCGGCTTCGCGCTTCTGAAACAAGATGCGGGTGTCATAGCCGCCCATGGTGGGTGCCTTTCGGTGGCAGCAATATCGAAAAAAAAACATGACAAAACATGCTGACAATGACGCGCGTGTTATTTTGGATGGAAAGGTGAACAAAATATTCAGTAGTGCCCCTAAGCTGAGTGTCTCATTATCATCCTGCGATTTTGGCACATAAATCCCAGCGTTTATTGTATCTCAATTTCAGTATATAAAACTACAGTATTAATTATTTGTTTTTGTTCGGTTAAAACTATGCAAGCAGCTTGTCACGTGAATGAGTGAAATCAACCTAATTTTAGTTTTTAATTCTGGACAAACTAGCTAATGTATACAATTTGTGGTGCAAGGTACTAAGGGTTAAGACTTGTTTGCCTAAGAGTGCTCGCTAACACATAAAATGTGTGCCAACATTTTCTTTCAGACTCTGAGGATGCTGCGCACACGTGGCTGCCCTATTATTTACCATAGAGTCAGCCATAAAACACAGGATGAGCAATCCTTCCCCAACAGAGACAGCGTGCAGGTGGCCCAAAGTGTCGAAGAAATCTACGGTGAGGTTTGATTGATATGTGAGGTTTAACCTCCCAAATCCACCATATGATTATGAGAGACGCCGTAGTGGAGGGCTCAAGAAATTTTGATCGTCTGTGGTTCTTTAACGTGCACCTAAATCTGAGCACACAGGCCTACAGTCCTCAATCCTGGGTTCAAATTCTAGAGCAGGGTAGGATTTCTTACACAATGGATATCTTTATATGCAGCTTATACTTTCTTCCCTCATACGTATGTTCATGTGTTAATGTTCGTTTTATAAAATAGCAGAATTTTGTATTTTCAGGCTGCAACTGTCTGTGAAACATAATTTTTCAGTCCAAAGCCTGGACAAGAAGTTCCTGAACCTGTCGCAAGGCGACAAGTGCCTATCCCGACGTGAAGCTCGGATCAAGTGCACACCTTTCTGCAGCACGTCAAGGCAATTCGAGAGACTAATTCTGGTGAAACTTCAAGCCTTCAAAATTTACATCATAGAAAACGTATTTCAATCAGCATTCTTCCGATGGGAAAGAACAAACTTGGCACAAAGTGATGACTTCTTTGGCTTCATCATGTTTTGGAAAGTTAAGATCATGTAATTCACCTGTCCCCAAGCACTTTGATTTCCTTTTTCTGTTGAAAATAATGCATGCCTAAATAAATCTGTTTGGCCTCACAGGCAAGATCACTGAACGCTTTTTTATTTGGCTCATTTACAGACATTTTCCTCCAGCACACTTGTCTTGAGCTACACAACAGACAGTGAGGACACAGATCCTTCTCATAAAACTGCAGAAGAAGAAAAGAAAGCTACCAATAGCACTATTCGTCATTGTCAGCAATGGGGGACATTTATGAAAATTCAGACTTAAACAGTGCAAGAAATGTCCAGCTAATCAAGGAATGCTGCACAGAAATTGAGCTGTTACCCATGGGAAGTCACAAACAGCTCGATGTATTCTCGAACGGAATTGCCCAATTACGGCATATTTTTTACATCGTGTGCTAGTTTGTAAAGTTGCATCAGTGGCATTGTGGCTAAAAATATGGGTTACGTAAAGACACCCAGTGTCTCGAGCATCTCTTGGGGTGTTTCGATAGAGCCAAAAGCTAAAGAGGCCTTTGTATCAGATGAGCGGAAAAAGCACCAAGGCTTTCATTTAATGGAGTGTGGTCTCTTTGTGATGAAAACACTGCCTATTCTCGCTACTTCCCCTGATGAATTCACCTCCTGTGAATATTGCTGGAAATCCGTTGTACATGTTAAGTGCCCTGCATCCCTAAAAATACTTCCCTTAATTATGAATCAAAGTGTCTAGGATATTTCAATACTTATTTACAGTTGAAACAAGACCATGCCTATTATGCCGAAGTAGAAGCCCAAATGGCTGCCACAAGGCTCCACCATTCCCACTTTATAGTTTTCACAGGGGTTTTCCTAGCAATTGAGCTTATCAGCTTCAACAAATTATTCTCGTCACTTGCAGAGCCTGAAGCAGCAAGCTTTTTTATCTCCAACGTTTTTCATGAACTGCAGACTAAAATATCTGAAGCAGATAAAGTGCGCCAAAGAAGCATGTTATTGTCATGGTGCCATGTCAGACCGTATTGTTCAATGTTCTCTGTGTACAGCAAACTTTCCCTTGAAGTGTGTTAAGCTTAAGCGTACACCGAAGTCATGGACATGCAGTAAATGTCAAGTGGCACGAGGGCCAGACTAAATCTAGAAACAGTAAAAAACACTACACCTTAAAAAGCAGTTGAGTTTTTCTTGAGAACTTATTTTGCTTTGTTACTGCAGTCTTGCGTAAAGTTCATGCCAGGTGAGACCCAATTGTAGAAGCATAAATGCTTCAATAAACATGTTTTAAGACAGTTCACTATTTCACGATGATTTGAACGATGGCCACGTGGCAATACTTATGCACCACAAATCTTGTATATAAAAGAGTTTCAGCATGTATGTTTATTTTAGGGAGGTAAACGAAATGAAATATTCGCTATTTTAAACTTGGTACAATTTAACCCACTCTACCCTACAGTCTTGATTGGTTGAATTGTCACCCCTTATGGCTTAGTATTACACTGTTCCGCTCCTCCTTCAGCTTGGGTAATATCGGTGCGAACATTTAGATCGCAGCCAACCTTATTTTCAGCAGCTACGTTTGAGGTGATAACGAGCAGTTGTGTCCAGCAGTCGTTGAATTGAATGTTTTGATACCGCATTTCAATCTGTGAGGACTGTTCAAACAGAGCTGAATGTGTGGAAAACCTACTGCGATTCCCACTCTTCAATTGGAGGCATAATCAAAAGTTTACAGTATGTCCTGCCTGTGCATGAATTTTCAATTTTCATTGTCTCAGAGCTTGCACAAAATGGGCTGATAATCAACTTTTGTTGAATCCCCATCCCATAAGCATCTGACTATGCCTATACAGTGCACTTCCATTTAACAACATTCGACAACAGCAGTAGCTCATATTCCTGCAGTGGCATTGTTGAGTGCAAGGAGCTCCCTTGTGTTTAGAGCGCTGAAGTAATGTCGTTCTCAGCGCACAAAACATAAGCATAATGCAATCCTTTGCTGAAACCTAACCAAAACCTCTAAATTGTAAGGATCAGAATGAGACTTTGGAAAATTGATTTCAGAAAAAAACGTTTTGTTGAGACTAAATACTTTAATAACACGAAAGACAAAGTTAGTTTCAGTAAGTGAATAAGGCAGAAATGAAGAGGATATAAAGACAGGGAAGTTATAAGGAGGCTTTGCTCAGTTAGCTAGCTGCCCGGCACTTGGGGTGGGAAAAGGAGGAAATAATATAAAGGAAAGGATAGAGGAAAAAAAAGAGTTACAAAGAGATGGACGAGCAGTTCGCATGATACTAAACTACACGAACTCGCGCTGTTAGTTTACAGGCACTCGTGATGTGCGGTGGAAGAGGGCTAAAAAAAGTGAAGACACAATAGAGCACTGCTGGACTGATTTTTCCAGCCCGGGCCCGCCCCGAATTCGCCATGCATGGGCCCGCCTGCGCCCAGCCGTTGTTTTAAAATACGGCTCGTACCCATGCCTGGCCCGAAACAGAGGCAGACACTATTTCCTCACTGAAGCTGAGTTGAGTACGCGACCGCGATGATGAAAGGCCATAGTGGCAAAACGTTGGGCGTGGCCATGCTGCGCCACATCGATGAAAGCTACATTGTCCGTCGACCTTGCAACGAAATCAAAAAGAAACTTCGCCCGTGCCGTTAGCCAGCCAACATTGTACTGCGGATGCATGTTACGCAAAAAGGGCGAACCATGTTAAGGTATGACACTCTGTCAACCCATAGCTGCAGCTGCAGGAACCACTAATCAGTGCTTTGTCTTTACAGGGTGGTGTGTGCTCTTTTCTTTATCTGGCAGATTTCTCTTTCCCGTCATAATTACTTTGTTTTCACTCGCCACACTAATCTGTGTATTTAGAAAATTCTAGTGCGCTTGTATTTTTGTATTGCCTTCCAAAACAGGGGTCAATTTAAATTTATGTGTTGTGAAGAGACGGATTTGGGCTAAGTTCCCTCCACGCAGCTTGATGAGTGGTCATCTCTGCTTGAGGTTTACAACCTCATACCAGAGAAGGAAATCATTGCAGTGTAATAAAAATGATGTTTTGATGTGTTAGACATATTGACGTAGAACTTCGGGAAAGGTTTTATTCTTTAACATGATGAACTACTGTTTTTCTTGTAGTCTGTGATAAGACAACGCAATTCACGTTAAGTTACTGTGTGGCAATACTGCGAAATATTTAGCTGGTTTTTCAGAGCACTCTTGAGGTCATGCTGGTGAAGCTAATATGACAATAAATTTATGATTATTATAATCTGTTTATTACCTTTATAATATAAATTTTATTGGGGAAGTGGACAGCCTTTTGAAAACAAACCAAAAATTGTGATATGGCTGTTTGAATACTGATAGAATTATAGTGAAAAGTTTTATTCTAATGTAAGAATGTGTCTAGTCAATTTCTTGTATATTTCAAAATTTATTCTGTCACCTTTTTCTCATAGAGGAAAACTTGGTGGAAATGTTGAGGGTAGAAAGTGAGGAACCAAGAATAAGCATTGCTTACTAGACTATTTTTTGATGTTCAAGTATGGTAGTGACATTTGTAATAACACTTTTTGTCTACAATCATGTGAAATGTCATACCCACAACAAAATTGACATGTGGCTTCATGAATAGGATTGCATTACCAGTTTACTGAAAGGGAACTACGCACCAGACTTCATGACATTTTTTCTCTTGACACATTTTCAATGACTATCAAGTTTGCTTTAATCCTTTTACGTCATGTCTATAGGAACATTTTCTGCCTTCTGTACATTTCCCTGAAGATAAACAAAACTGTGCGGTAACATCATAGTTCGTAAAGTGCCTGTGTGGTGTAGGCGGGACTTCTACACTCGTCATGAAAGATATGGTGGTTTGGGAATGTTAAACCCCACGTATCATCATCATGAAAGAAAATTATGGTCTGGAAACACGGCTAGAGAAGAGAACCAGATCACAAGAACACAATTTTGTGCGCTCTGCTTCTCTTTCACGTGTGCACGCTTTACCTTCTTTTATCGAGGAGCATCCACCTACTAGCTCAACTTGCCGTTGTTCTAAACTTCCGGACTGGTGGGTTAGCTTAGCAGAGTTGCAAGGAAACTGTATAGTCCAGTGAATAGCTGAAAACGAGTGATTAGCATAGGCAGGAAAGCTAACGCCCATTGGTTTTTTGGTGGAAGAAGATACACTAAGACGCAAGTGGCGTATAAATTTAGTTAATGCAGTACGGCTACATGAAGGAACTACAGAGTTTTATTTTGACCAGAACCGAGGGTATCTATTCAGTGCGACGAAAAGTTCCGAGTAACATGATGTGAATTGCACGGAAAATGCTTGCATGTGCAAATACTTTAAACACTAGTCAGCATGAGTGGTGCCTGTACCTCTAATTTAGCTCAAACAATAGATTCTTGGAACGGTATTTTTTTTTCTGTGTACTCATTTAGGTCAGCACAGAAGCAGCATTACAGAAACTTCTACAGCAAGTAACCGTTTTTTGTCTCCAATCCTGTGCTTTCTGCAGACCTATTTTGAGTGAAGCTACGAGTCAATGATGCCCTTTCAAGCGTTTACTTTTTAATGTTCCCCTACTAACTTTCCCATTTCAGTTTATTTGTAGCATGAAACATTTTGAAGGTTGTTCCAGGCCACTCATCCCATCTATGACAACAGTATTTTGTTTGCATGTTCTTAGGTCTTTGCACCTGTTTTCAACCAGCTTTATCTTTGTAACTTGCTTCCCGTGTACTCTTGTTTATTGCATTTTGATGATTCTCAACAGTCTTTAGAGCTACTGTTCAAAAATCATACAATGTACTCTATAAGTTTAGTGGTACCCAGGCATAAATACTACATGTGCATTACAAACAACCACAAATTACCTGATTTACCGACGTAAACAAAAAATTCAACTGAGTGATATTGTTTTGTAGAAGCACAGACACTTGCAGTGAAGATCCATTATACTGAAAATAAAGTGTACCTTCCCTCAGCTAAGGTGCCTGAAGGAAGAAATAACCATCTCCTGCTTTGTAATGGCGAGGCAACAACTCCGCTGGCGAATATGAAGTGTTCTAGAGATTTTGGCATTGTTTAGAATAGGTAGTGATTATGCCTGTCCTAGATTGATGTGAGAATGTCATCGTGGAGAATGGAAAATATGTTCCCTTTTTTGTACAGTCAGCTCTGTCAGGTCTTTTTGAGTTTGCTTTTATTTGTTATTTGACATAATTCTAGCAACATGTTATGCGACACATAAGTTTTATATGCACATACTCAAAGATTTCTCACCCACTTGCAAAAAGGCAGCTGGTACATTACAATTAACATATCCAGTTTATTGTGCCTTTAACGCTTATCAAGTGTTTTTACAGTTTTATTTTTGCAGTTTGCTGGCTGTACTCATCGAAGTTTTTCATTTAGAATTTCGGAATAATGATTGCTTATAACTATTGACTCATAGGCAAGCCAGCAGGGTGACTTTTTGTTGATCTTGAAGAAAAGTCAAATAGGACAATATGCTATGTAATAAATAAATAAAACAAAAACTATTTTCTCAAGAGCACAACATCTGCAAGTATTCGGGAGCTGGGGGCTTCAAAATGTATTGCAAAGCAGTTTTAAATAGGAATTGTCACTTTGTATGTTAGAATAAACTTGCGCGAAGTGCAGCTGTTCAGTGTATTACGAAGAGTAAACTTGTTTGGCTGCCATCACAAATGGAATTTGTAGTATTTGGAAGTGAAATATGTGAAGCCCCGTCTACAGTTGTGAACATATAATCACTTGCATGTGAACATAGTGTAGCAAAGCATTTGCAGCCTGTGATGTGCTGCCCATGTAGCATCATCGTAACCATAATGCTACCCGTCGGGGGAAATGTTAGTGACTATGCCAAATGATTTTCAATGGACACACCGAGCCAGCGCATAATGTGTATTCCGCATTCCGTGCCATAGTGTATTCCACATTCCATTCTATAATGTATTCTTGATAAGGCAATGCAGAGTTAACATTGAATTCGCTTAACAAGTGCAGCATAGTAAACGTGTAGATGACATGCATTAATTGCTAAATTGGCACAAAAAAGTGAGCAATGATTCTATAATCCAGCAGT